GAACACCCCATATTTCTTTACCCTATCAGAAAGGGAATTTAATTCTCTACAAATTATCTATAAACATTCCTATACCTATTTATTGTAGTTTCCCTGATATTGGAAAATTAATCAAAATCAGACATAGAATCCCAAAGCCCGTTTGTGTTTTTGTTAGCAGGCCAAGACATTTTGACAGTTCATCGTTTAATTTATTTAAATTATTATTGGTATTATTTCTACAATTAACTATGGTTGAATAACCTTTAGCTTGCTCGCTTTTATTTACCAAAAATAACCAACAGAAAAACGAATAAATGAAACAATGAAAAACAACAATTTAATAACAGAAATTAGAATGAATAACATATAAAAAAACAAAAACTTAAAATTATAAAAAAATTAAAACTGTTCGATATGCTGACCATTCACCATTAAACATTTTTCAACTCTTCTTTCGACTTCTACGGTTGTGGCCCGTAGAAGTTGGTCGCCATCAATAGTACGTAGTGCACGCATCACTCTATCACGCAACTCTTGTCGTGTGTTGATCGGTGAATTGTACACTTGATTTTTTAAGTGACCCCACAAATAAAAATCCAATGGTGTTAAATCTGGAGATCGTGGAGGCCATTGCCATGAATATAAAACAAATTTAAAATATCGGCGTTGGAATAATTTGCCATGATATACAATGACTTTCACTCGTGATCAAAAGTAAGTAACAACAACAATAACACAAATATGGACCAAAAACTGTCAAAATTCCATTGCCTTCTAATAAAAAAATCAAACGTTTTCCCGCATTCCGTGCATGCTTTGATTAATGTCCCAATATCAGGGAAACTACAATAAATAGGTATAGGAATGTTTATAGATAATTTGTAGAGAATTAAATTCCCTTTCTGATAGGGTAAAAAAATACGGGGTATTCCATTTAAAATTTTCGACTTTCTAGCCATTGAATATGGAGAAACGGTAATTCAATTTTTGACCACCCTGTATAAGATACTCTGATACACGAAATGACAATCTATTTGGCAACATCTGAAGAGTAATCGTGCCAATTTAGAGGTTTTTTTAATGAACGTTGAGATATAGGCTTTTAAAGAGCATGGTGAGATTTGCCAAAAAAAGCTTAAAATCAAAATAACTCGAAAACAAAAAATGGTAGGTACCAACAACTTTTATCAAAGTCAACATATTTTTTTATGTATAATTGAAAGGTGTAATAAAAACTATAGCTTTTTATTTAAAATAACGAAGTTGTGGTCTACTTCCGGTAGACCGGAAGTGGTGGCCATCTTGAAAATATTTTAGATTGAAAGTTTAGACTGAACAACCCATGCTACCAAAATTTCAAACCTCTATGAATAGTGGAACCTAAAAAAGTTCTAACGAACCAGTTACGTGAGACACCTGTATATGTATATGTCGCAGGCAAATGGTTGTTTCAGGTAAACATGGCTAAAATATTTTCAGGCAAATAGCTCTTTAAGCATTATTAATTCGTTATTTGCTGTTTGAGATTATGTTACTGTCATCATATATATGCGGTTGCTTGTGATCTTTTGAATATGGAAAGCTTTAAGGATGTTCCCCAGGAAAGCTTTATTTCTTTAAGAGAGTCCTGCACTTCACAGTCACTGTTTTCTGGGCAAGGGATGTCAAAATGCCAGATGTACTTATTTCAAAAATAAGCTGATGTGCACTACTAGATGCCATTACAGCAACAATTGTCAAAACAAGTAAATTTTTATGTTTAGTATTTAAGTCTAAATCGTAAATAGTCTTCAAGAAATAAATCGTTTATTTGTATTTTTATTAAACTTAATAAAAGTATATGAAACTGTTATGCATATTTTTGAAAATGATACAATAGGATACAATAAATTGATAGCAATAGGAACTACTTTATTTTATTGTGAATAGGTACCTACTCTATATTGCATTATTGTATCGAAAAAATTGTATTTGCCTAAAACAAGCTTAGACAGATACTATTTGTCTTGTCCCATAGTATTTGCCTAGACATTTAATGATAAAACTGTAACGAACTCTGCATAAGCAAACAGTATCTGACTAGGAAAAAGCTATCTACCTGAAATAATCATTTGCCTGCGATATACAGGGTGTTTTATCTCAGACGAGCCACCCCGTATATTTCTTATCCCATAGTGATTAGAAAAGTTTCCCGAAACCCGTCGAATGATTTTGTTTGGGGGACATCTTTTGACGTCATTTGAGGCTTGAACGAGCAACCCCCTAAGAGGGGGTGTTTCAATCCTTCAAAATTGAATAGGGGAGAGGGGTTGAGTGATACTTCATTTGAAAGGTCTTGGAAGCCTCTTTACAACGGTGTATGAAAAACGGAAATTTGATGAACCGTTTTCGCCAAAAATCAATTTTTTAGCTCAAATGAGCAACCTTGAATATTTTGGTTATAAATAAAAAAATTGAATTGTTTTATCATGTTGTTTTATTTATCACAATCAAAAAATCAAATCTGCGTTTTTAAATCAAATGTTCAAATTGTCCTCCATTGACTTCCATACAATAATACAATCTTGACTGAAAACCGTCTCTAACATGGTTCAGCATAATTGGAGTTATGTGACGACACTCATTTACAATTCGTTGGCGTAGTTCGTCCAAATTTTCAGGCTGAGTCACAAAAATCTTGGACTTAAGATGTCCCCACAAGAAGAAGTCCAGAGGGTTCAGGTCAGGAGAACGGGCAGGCCACTCTATAGGACCTCTTCTTCCAATCCAACGACCGGGGTATTGCAAATTGAGGTATTGGCGAACTGGTGCGGCGTAGTGAGGAGGAGCTCCGTCTTGTTGGAAATGCAATTGTTGTTCAAGTAGTAGAGGATCGTTTTCTAATTTTTCTGTTATTAACGGATCAATCACATTTTCCAGCATTTCAAGATAAATTTCGCCATTTAAATTACCAGGAATAAACAGAGGTCCAATTATGTGGTCTCCCAAAATTCCTACCCAAACGTTTAGCTTTTCCGGATGTTGAGTGTGAGCTTCTCGAAATACATGAGGATTTGTATCGCTCCAAATTCTACAGTTATGCCGGTTAACCTCTCCATTAAGTGAAAAAGTGCATTCGTCAGAAAAGCAAACGTTGTACAAGAAATTTGGGTTATTGTTGATACGCTCGGCCATAATTTCGCAAAACTCTTGCCTTCGATCCAAATCATCATCATTTAATTCGTGAATTAATTTAATTTTGTACGGATGGAACTTGTGTTTATGTAAAATTCTGAAAACGTTAGATTGGCTAATACCGGAAGCTGCAGAAAGTTGTCGTACAGATTGCGTGTTTGGCATAAGTTGGACATGTCCCAAGACCGCCACCGCTGCTCCTTCATCATTCACAATTCCAATGGGTGCCCTTTTTTTATCCATTACTGAACCCGTCTCAACAAATTTTGAAATCAATTCCATTACGTACTTATGGCGAACACTACGTTCAGGATGGTTTTGGTTAAATATCCTTGCAGTCGCTCGGGCACAATTTTGATTTTGGTAATAGAGGCTAACCAGCTCAACACGTTCTTGCAATGTGTACACCATAATTATTTTTAAAATTTTAAACAAATCAGCAAAGTAGTAACTCAACAGATTGATTTAAACGTATTATAACCAGATAAACACCTTCTAAGAACAAACAATGAAGGCAACATATGGAAATGTTTTGATTTTTTTTTTATTTTTTAGTTTGAGAGAATTTATTATTGTATGGAAGTCAATGGAGGACAATTTGAACATTTGATTTAAAAACGCAGATTTGATTTTTTGATTGTGATAAATAAAACAACATGATAAAACAATTCAATTTTTTTATTTATAACCAAAATATTCAAGGTTGCTCATTTGAGCTAAAAAATTGATTTTTGGCGAAAACGGTTCATCAAATTTATGTTTTTCATACACCGTTGTAAAGAGGCTTCCAAGACCTTTCAAATAAAGTATCACTCAACCCCTCTCCCCTATTCAATTTTGAGGGGTTGAAGCACCCCTTCTTAGGGGGTTGCTCGTTCAAGCCTCAAATGATGTCAAAATATGTCCCCCAAACAAAATCATTCGACGGGTTTGGGGAAACTTTTCTAATCACTATGGGATAAGAAATATACGGGGTGGCTCGTCTGAGATGGAACACCCTGTATACATACAAAAATAGCGTATCTATAAAAGAAATTCATTTGATATAAAAAAATTGTATCAATAACCCTTCGTCTCTAAGTTTTATTTTAATTTGAATGATTTGTTATTTAAACTTGACACAATTAACGATAGATGAACCATTTTTTTACATTCTGTTTATGTATACGTTTTATATTCTAGAATAATTGGGTTAAATGTGTTGATAGCAAAAAAGTTACAAAAAATTATTAAATCGTGACAAGATAAATTATGGATATAATAAAAAATTATTACATTTAATATTTTTGATAACTTTTTTGTGGGTTTGGCACGTAGTACTATATTAAACTTTGCTTTTATACGCAATCAACTACGTATCGCGTTGCTTAAGACACCAATTTGTAACTCATTTAGAATATTTTGAGTAAGATATGAAAATTTTAAATAAAACGAATTTTTATGTTAACCCAAAGTTCGTTTACATACAATTTCGTCACACCATGAAATGATAAATCCCAAAACACAAATGTTTTTACAAATAATTTAAAAATAGTTGAATAGAAATATTTCCATTCCATAGAGAAGACATTTCTAAAGCCAATTAAAACGATAACAATCAGATAGAGTACTATAAATAAAACTCTTCTTTTATAAACTACGTAATTTTTTTTCCTATTTGACGCTTTAACCCGTACGCACAAGAAAAAAATGATAATGGTAATATAGTTTCCGTTTGTATTTACGCATTCGGACACACAGCACCTGATAAGGACTTTTTGTTTAGACTCTAGGTGCCCAGACGAAAACGATAAACATTGATCTGAAAAAGGCTTATAAGTCTTGCATGCAGTTCGGATTTGTTTACTCATTAGTAGTTCGTCATTCGATTCAAGACTCATCTCTTCTGACTTTTGACGACGACCGCAAACTTGAAAGTAGTTTTCAAATTTCACAATCATTCATGTTCCTTGGATATCGTAATAGATACTCAAAAGTATTCATCAGATTCAAGAATTAAAGATAACGTTTATATTTATTTTGCAAATAATTGAAATAGTGAAAATATGGAATTTGGTAATAATAGAAAATTTGGACGGCGGAAACATTTCGAGAAAATCTTACTATTTCGAATTGGAGTTGTTATTTTTATTACAACAATATATTCGATAATTGGTACTACCACAATTGATGCAAAAATTGAAGAAAAAGGTAAGATATTTTTATTGTTTTTTAAATATTAAATTTGTGGAAAATTATTTCATTATAAAAAAATGTCTAATATAAATCAACAACAATTTCTAGTGCATACCAGATCAAAAATATATTTGTCTACCTTATCAAATGTTTTGAATGACTCTTTACCAATTTCAAACTGGAACTTAGTTTGTAAACAGAAGAGAACGATCTCGTCGGTTTTTTCCTCTCCGGGGAATCTTACAAGATGCAAAAGAGAGTCAAAGTTCAATAACGTGACCAACATCGCGTATTATAAAGCAAACACATCGTTGATTTGTTTTCGGATTCGACATAAACATTTTCCCCCTTTCATTTTCATTCATTCTTTATATCGCTATAATTAATCGTATATCGAAACAGATTATAAAAATATTAAAAAAAACACTATTCTTGTACGATACTTTGTCATCTTGTGTCGTTATCGTAGTTGTTTTCTTTGATAATCAAGTGGAACATGATACGATTATTTCTTGAAAATTTTCCTATAATGAAGACACATTATTTACGTTTATTTGTTTTCTTTTTTGATAACAAGATGAAATTTGAGATCGATATCAAAATATTGAGTTCAATTATTTCAACAATGGCTTTAAATAGAAACTCGTTAAAAACAGTGAAGTACTGAAGATCATCCAAATTCCAAGCATTTCAAATTTTATTTTTTGCATATTTTACATATACTGGTGTCCCGTTAAGCGTACGGAGCGGCTATATCTCTAGAACGGTAAGGCCTAGAGGTTTGGGAAAAAATCCTTATTAAGCAAAGTGACCAAGAGAAATAGCTGGAAATTATTTTGAAGTTCGTAATTCGATCGCTAGGGGGCGTAACTGCCGTTGAGAAACATAAAGTTCCCGCTATCTCAGAAACTTAGACGATGAGCTATAACTTCGACAACATCATTTAATAGCTTGGATAATACCGCATCGCTTTTGTTTTGCGATATTTCTCATATCTGTCATAATAAGGGAGGGGGAGGCCAATGCGTTTTCATATTGTAGTGTGCCATGGGAGATGCCACAAAGTGTGCCATGAAAAGTTGTTTTTAATAAAAAAATGATTTGTTATATAATTGACAAAAAACAAAAAACAGCATTAAATTAACTACATCGCCTGATTTCTCATCTCCCGTTACACACAACACTAAACACAAAATTATTACTAATTCACATCTTCCGTTTTGCCGTCCTCGACGTTTGGATGTGCGTAAGCTATCAATCGCTAAAAAAGAATTCGAACAAATGGTCGCTATGGGCATCTGTCGACCATCTTCTTCATCTACGGCATCGCCTCTTCACATGGTACCTAAAAAAGATTCTGATGACTGGAGACCATGTGGAGATTACCGCCAATTGAACAACGTTACTGTGCCAGATCGCTATCCGCTACCTCATATACATGATTTCAACATTCATTTGCACGGATGCAAAATCTTTTCTAAAATCGACTTGGTCAGAGCGTATCATCAGATACCCGTAGATGAAGAGGACATACCAAAGACAGCTATAACAACCCCTTTCGGTCTTTTCGAATTCGTTCGCATGCCTTTTGGCCTTCGAAATGCAGCGCAAACATTCCAAAGGTTCATCAATGAAGTACTTTCAGGACTAACCTTCATTTTTGTATATATAGACGATATTCTTGTAGCAAGTCGAAATGAAGAAGAACACATACTTCATTTAAAACAATTATTTCACAGATTAACTTCCTACAATATCAATATCCAACCGAAAAAATGCATTTTCGGTGTTAAATCATTGGATTTTCTTAGTCATCATGTTTCATCCGATGGCATTCGACCATCGCAATCAAGAATCACAGCCATAACACATTTTCCAAAGCCAACGACTCTAAAAGAGTTACAAAGATTTTTGGGAATGTTAAACTTCTACCATAGATTCTTACCTAACATTTCAAATATTCTTGATCCCTTATACACACTTTCAAAATTACTTCACTATCAAAAACAAAAAACAATTTCATCAACTTCTTGGACTCTGCAACACGACAACGCTTTTTCTTCAGCCAAAAATCTTCTATCAAAATCTATCTTTCTAGGACATCCCTCTTCACATGCTATCCTATCATTGTCAACTGATGCATCTAACACAGGTATGGGAGCTGTTTTAACGCAAACCGTCAATGGAAGGTCTCAACCATTAGCGTTCTTTTCCAAAAAATTTAATTCATGCCAAACCAAATATTCCACTTTTGATAGAGAACTTTTAGCGATCTACTCTGCTATCAAATTTTTCAAACATTCGTTACATGGAAATAAATTTACAGTATATACAGATCACAAACCCATTGTCGCATCAATTTTTTCGTCCACAGACAAAACTCCTCGACAAACCCGATATCTAAGTTATATTGCACAATTTACTTCAGATATCAAATACATCAGAGGAAATTCAAATATTGTTGCAGATACTCTATCCAGAACAAACATCGGATCTCTAAATTCATCTTATCCAGATTTTCTAGCCCTTAGCAACGCTCAACTTGCTGACACAGAATTGGAAAACTTACTAAATAAGCAATTTTCCAACAATCCTTCAAAATCTTATCGTTTAACACATCAAACAACATCACAATCCGATATCAAACTGTGGTGTGAAACCTCTTCATCATCTCCAAGAATTTATATTCCGCAACAGTTCAGACAAGCAATTTTTGACAAAATTCATAGCTTATCTCATCCCGGAATACGTTCCACCATTCATGCAATCAAAACAAGATTCTTTTGGCCACACATGTCAAAGCAAATTCATGTTTGGACCAAAACCTGCTTAAAATGTCAACAAGCAAAAATTCAAAAACATACAAAATCGCCAATCATCAACATCAAAATTCCTAAAATTAGATTTGATCATATACATATCGACTTGATTGGACCACTCACTCCGTCCCTAGGTTGTACTTATGTACTTACAGTTATCGAGCGCTTCACTCGATGGCCAGAAGCTTTTCCGCTGAAAGATATCACATCTTCTACTATAGCAAACACACTCTTCCGGCATTATTTTAGTCGATTTGGTATACCTACCACAATAACACATGATCAGGGACGGCAATTCGAATCAAACCTCTTTTCAAAATTTAACACATTACTTGGCACACGACAAATACATACATCATCTTTCCATCCCCAAGCAAATGGAATGTTAGAACGATTTCATCGATCATTGACGAGACTCTACTAGATGGAACAACAATCTACCCCTCATTCTACTAGGATTAAGAACATCACTTAAGGATGATCTAGGTTGCTCCTCAGCAGAACTGCTTTACGGGCAACCACTAAGACTTCCTGGAGAGTTCTTCATACCTACTAATCCATCTATTGAGTATGAGCCTTTCCTCTCCAGTTTAAGAGACACTTTTTCGAAATTAAAACCAGTGAATACGTCTTTTCACTCTATTCAAAAACCTTTTATTCATAAAGACTTGCACAAATCAAATTTCGTTTTCATTAGAATTGAAGGTTTGAAACTGTCGTTATCTTCGCGATACGAAGGACCTTTCAAAGTTCTGACAAAAGCAACCAAATATTTCGTAATTCAGAAAGGCAATGATAAAATTATTGTTAAATATCGATCGCCTTAAGCCCGCGTTTATCTTTAATGAAAGTATTAAATTTAATAATTCGGAAATAGATAAACATGTGTCATAACCAAATAGAAATGTACATTTTAACATATAATCGTTATTTTTTATTACTACAACATATTACTTTCTTAAGTTGTACCATTGTTTTACCTTCCTCTTCTTATTAATTTCTTTTTCACGGAAGGGGGAGTATTGTAGTGTGCCATGCATCACACAAAGTGTGCCATGAAAAGTTGTTTTTAATAAAAAAATGATTTGTTATATAATTTACAAAAAACAGATTAAAAAAATAAATTTACATTAACAACCTAAAATGTGGTAGTATAAAAATAATTTTGATTTATTTTTGATAATCAAAATAATTTGAATTTTTTGATTGATACAGGAGCAGATATTTCTGTTTTACCGCACGAATTATTCCCCCATCACAAACAAGATACTGACACCAATCTTAGTGCTGCGAACGGTACTAAAATACTAACGTATGGTAAGAAAATGCTAACGGTATCACTCAACCTTAGAAGAGATTATCCATTCATTTTTACCGTGGCCAACGTTAGTAAGCCAATAATTGGTGCCGATTTCTTAACTAGATTCGGTATCTTAGTTGATGTTAAGAATAAGAAATTAATCGATAAGGAAACAAAAATTTTCTCTATTGGTTCTTGTATCAAAAGCGACGTTCCATCACCCAAAATTTTCTTCTTTGAATCAAAATTTTCAAACATTTTAAAAACATTTC